CGTGTCACTGGAACCATTACTACACAATGGGACGGGATCTTTTAAGACGGATGCTTTACGTCCTACCAACATGAGAACACTTTTGAGGAATTTGAAGGAGTTCTGTTCGCCACAATGTCAGGAAACAAGGAATAATGACATTGTTAAAACGCTGAGGTGTGGTTACCAAAGTGGGGGGCGGGCCCCTGCAGTGAGTCCAGCCTTTCATCCTGTGCAGATACTTGGTTTTGATGTGAGATGTTCACTAAGTTTAGCAACTCTGTGTGTGTGCGGTTGTTGGGTTCAGACATCAGAACGTTTTCTTGTCATCATAATTCCTGCAATCCTTCATTAGAAACCACAGCGTGTCGGAACACAGCCATCAGAACTCCGATGACACCAAACACTTTCCAGATTCATTAAATCTGGAGTGACATTTACTTGGAGTTGTTGGCGGGACAAGAAGCGACACGGAGCTGATAAAAGACTGGAAGGTTCGGCTAAATGTTGGAATTAAAATACGGAAGACATCGCCCGACAGACGTTGGTAAAAAAAATTATATGAATTGATCGCCCGACAGACGTTGGTAAAAAAAAAAACTATCCATTATATGAAAACTGTAATATCTTAATACTTAGAGATGTAACGATACACTGGACTCACGATACGATGTGTCAGACAAATAAACTACATTATAGTAGTACGACAGTATATATATATTTAACACTTACGTTCACACACACACAAAGAAATTAAGTGAGGACTTTTGATTTCAGGTGGAGGCCAGAATAATGCCCTCCACCCCCCAGTTTGAAAACACAGTAAAGAGGATGTTGAAGATGTACAGTGTCAGACAGGGGTCGCTCTAATGAAGCATGGCGGTTGGTGCCCCAAAATGTGTGTGTGTGTGTGTGCGTAGAGAGTAAGGGCTTTGGGTGGGGCATCTCTCACCCAATAACAGTTCTCACTTAGGTCATGCCCCCCCCCCCCATGCCCAATCCACAGCTACACATGGCTGTCACACAGCCAAACACACACATTTACAAAGAGACATTCCAGAAGACCAGCCTCCCTCCCTCCCTGCCTACAGTGCCCCCCACCACCACCACACCCACCTCCACCCCCACCCCACACACACTCAAAAACAAGATGGTAATTGAAGCAGACACAGCTGAGGCGGGGCAGTTCAGTGGGGAACGGTGAAAAGAATTCAAAGTTGGGAGCAAAGAAAAGACTTTCCATTTTCTTACTCCGATGATGAAGAACAAAAAAAGTGACGGTTACAGTAATTACTGGGCCGAAGGAGCAACAGGTCCAGGAGGTGGAGGATTGTTGGGGAGGTAGAGCGTTCCTCCCTGGGAACCGTGGGCTCCTCCCCAGAACAATGCTGTTGTTTGTGATCATGGGTGAAAATTGGCTGGGAGGTTAAAAGCCCAGCTTCAGGAACCCCTGGAACCGACCCAGGCCTTATGTTGGGCTCCACTATCTTCCTAGGACAACACTGGATGTGACCTTGTTTGTCTCCAGCCCCCGGTCGGAAGCGCAGTTCCTTCCTCGGCGTAACAAAAGTCTTCCCATGAAGTGGGCCAAACACTTTTATTGCCTTGTAACCCTGAGCTCAGAGGGTTGTTGCCTCATTCATGATGACAACATGCCTCATGCATCTCTCTCTCTCTCTCTGCCTCTTCCTCTCTCTATCTAAAGCTGTGTGTGTGTGTGTGTGTAGTAGCAGACTTCGTCTTGTTTCATGATTAAATGGTCAGATGTTTGGGAAGTCGTGCACAAATTCCAAACACAAAGATTACAGTAAGGCCAGCACACAAACCACCGCATCCACCGCGTGACACCAACGACCACAAAAAAAAATCTCATTTTGCAGGTAGCATAATGCTGATTGGTTAGCCGTGGTCACTACATAAATATGACATCACGACACCATGACATGGGGACGAACCTCGTACTTTTTCAACACACCTTTCAGGTTTGATCCCAGATCTGGAATCACGTGATGACCTCAGCGGACCC